TTTAATTAATTGATGTTCAGATATTTTTTGCTCAGCTAATGTCGGCCTTAATATTAATTAATATTAATTGTTATTAATAATAATTAATAATTAAATAATTATATTTTTTAATTAATACTAATTATACCGTTAACTCCTGGGTAAATGTTACTACTGCATTTAGAATTGTTTTGTGTTAGTTCAGCTTATAATAATTTAAGAATTCCTTGCTTTTTAATGTAATATATTTTATTTCCTGCTAGTAACTAATCGACCAATACAATGTCATCAATCAATGTCATTATAGATATAATGGGAAATTAATTTATCGCAATTTGGTAGTTTTCAATCTTTAATTTTATTTACTAATTCTGTGGAATTATTGATAGAAAATTTAACTGTAAAATGTGTGCTGATAATAATAAGATATTTTGCAATATGGAGCAGTTATAAACAGAACTATGGCTCTTAAGTGGATAACCTGCTTTAATTGCAGTGTTGTAGGTTCTTATTTATAAGACAGTAAATTTCTTTGCGAGTTTGCAAATATAAGTACTTTTTTCGAGAGTTTTGGCTGGATCGCACCTACTAATTTAAAAGCAGTCAGAATTTAAAAATTCTCTCGTTTTGCTGAGATATTTTGGTTTATTAATAGTAAATTATAGTGTTACCTTTGTCAGCGTTTGTAAACCCTCTCCATTGAATTAGAAAATTAGAAGAATTAGTCTGAAGATTATTAGTTATTTTCAGACCCAACATTGGGTGTTTCAGTTACAGAGAGCATGTCGTAATGCATTGTCACGTCTAGAATAAAAGAACATTAATGAGCCTCTTAACACTTCATCTGTTTTTCATCAGTAGTTCCGAACATGAAACCGGTCATCAAATTTTATTCGACGAAACTAACATTTTTACTTGCAATTTAATTAAAAATGCATTTAAGTACAGCGGGTATTTAGTATGTAACCTACAATTTTTAAAATGTCAAGTATTTTAAAAATTGTAGATTACATATCAAATAGCATAGAGGCCATTGCAAATAAATCGATAACGACTCTGATTTAGATTTTGGATAAAAACGCAGTTCTTTATGAAATTATTGATAATTTCATTGACCGGCCAGGCTTTTCGATAATTGCGGTCAAAAGCCACAACGATATAATTCGAGATAAAGTATACTTGTATTTCTCTACGATCCAGTTTCGAGAGTATCGTTTTTTCTCGTCCTTGATCGACCTATGTTATCAACTCTCGCACCTAATAAAAGTAACGACGTTCCTTCGATTTTCCCTATTTCAGGAATTTTAATTTTACCGCCGTTAAGAGCAATTATTATTTATTTATGCCGATGGCGAACAAAGCTTATAAATCGCGGCATTAGCGTGAAATTTCCGCAAGGTAATTAAATAATCTACGGACCATTAATTCCGATTGAAATTTGCCTTAAAAGACTATGGAGTTGAGGAGCAACGTTTTCTGCCATTCTTCCGTCTTATACGAATAATGACATTGCGTCGCCTTCAAGCATCGATTATGGTAGTGGAAGGAGTGGTTGGCATATTCAGGGGGGGGGGGCGACTAAAGTTTCACGTCTGAAGCGCTCGCTCGAGAGGGGATGCTAAAGATCGCAATGATTTATTACAAAGAACGTATTCTTACGTGACTTAAATTTTAAATTGTTTTATTGTTTTTTTCGTTAACGCTCGCTTCCGAGGGCGGGAAGGCAAATAATTTGATCTCGAGATATTTTCCGTTTGATTAATGGCCGGCCGGATACAAGACGGGGGGCATATGGCGATGCCGTGCTATACGAGATAAATTTTTCTCATGGCGATATGCAAAAAACCAGCTTGACGAATTGGCTTAGTAATCCGATTGGTGGACGACACGAAAAATGTTTCTTTAGATATAAATAGTCCAGTCAAAGTAGACATTTTAGAGAAAACAAAATTTTCCTCGAACTCTTTTCTCGGCATCACTATTCCTATGATATAGCGATTCTAAAAGTTGAAGGAGCATTCTACATGGTATACACACACAACCCACGTACACATGGGGGATTGTTTTTTACTGCAAAACTAAGAAGTTGTTCCAAAATCATATTATTATATCTGCAAGTCAAATTAAGAATAGATGGATTTACAAAAAATACAAAAATTCTACCCTTCTTTTAAAAAATTGAGAAAAGTTGTTTAGAATGAAAAGTTATTCAAAACAGGACCTACTAAGATAAAAAAGTTTTTTGTTCGAAAAATATTAACAATTTCCTTATTATTATTATCATTTTCAATAATTTTAAATACGGTCAATCACATATTATTTGCAAAATTAATTATGATTTTCAATATTTTGACGAAACACAAATTTTTATATTTTTATTTAGTAACACCTAAATATTCTATTAACATTCTTTTTAAGTAAAAAAGTAAATCGTTATTTAAATAGCAAAATTTTTACTTTAAATTTATTATAGAAAACTATACATACAAACTATACATCTTACATCTTACTTTGAAAACTTTGAAGTAAACATGATGACAGTTCAATGAGTCACAAAAAATACAAAAATTCTACCCTTCTATTAAAAAATTGAGAAAAGTTGTTTAGAATGAAAAGTTATTCAAAACAGGACCTACTAAGATAAAAAAGTTTTTTGTTCGAAAAATATTAACAATTTCCTTATTATTATTATCATTTTCAATAATTTTAAATACGGTCAATCACATATTATTTGCAAAATTAATTATGATTTTCAATATTTTGACGAAACACAAATTTTTATAATTTTATTTAGTAACACCTAAATATTCTATTAACATTCTTTTTAAGTAAAAAAGTAAATCGTCATTTAAATAGCAAAATTTTTACTTTAAATTTATTATAGAAAACTATAGCTACAATTTATTGTTAATTGACAAACATAACATCTTACTTTGAAAACTTTGAAGTAAACATGATGACAGTTCAGTGACATTAGTTGTTATTGTCAAATAATAATTGCTTTATTAGTGACATTTTGTTTTGCAGTTAATATTATTAATTATAATTAATATTATTAAATTATAAAATTATAACTATAGTTATAAAGTACGTAAAGCAGAAGGATTTCAAATCTACATGGCATTTGGAGGGTAAATATAATAGGAATGTACGTGTTCAGACTGTATATAATAAAGAAAATCAACTAAAAGTACTTCAGGCAATTGTTGAAACCTCTAGATACACTCAAAAAATTTCGGCTTATACGGATGTCAAAAACTCTGGTAAGATGATTCTCAGAAAAAATAAATAACAAGAAAATTCATCTGGTGAGACTTACTTACTGTTTTTGCAAAACGAATTATCGTAATTTTAAGACCATTTGTGTTCGTCAGATTTCCCTGCTGGAACGAAACTTTTATAGGGATCGACCGAGATTTCATTTGCTAAAATTTGATCGTACAGTCATCGAACGGGAACGTGGGCCTGCATAATTTTGTTAAAATTTATTAAATTGGTTAGTTATAAGTTGATATTAATATTATTATTTATTTCAATTTTTTTTTGGTTATCTGTTTCTGATTTGTAGTAAATTTTGTGTAATAATTATTATTTAAAATAAAAGTGTTGCTATTTAAATGACATACCTATATATAACTTTAAGTTTAAGTGCGGACACGTACGAATGATCCTACTCCAGGGTCAAACAACGAACGGATGAACACCCGGATTACCACCAATACATATATATATATATATATATATATATATATATATATATATATATATATATATATATATATATATATATATATATATATATATATATACATATATATATATATATATATATATATATATATATATATATATATATATATATATAATGGCTGAAATCCCCCTATTGGTCTGTCTCACGTACGTCAAGCTGCACGATTCGCCACACTACATGGTCCTTGGGTTCTCCTAAGTAATTTTTTGTTTTGGGTTTCTTAATACTACTCAGGTTTGTATGCCATAGATATCTCGTGTTTCCGTAATATCCGGCCGATTCTGTCAGTAACTCCCTTAATATATGGCAGAACAGCGATAGATCTCTCTTGGGTTCATCCTGCACTCTCTGTTGCGGCTGCTGTTGTTTGCTTATTGCTGTGCTGATGGTGCGCCTTTGGTGTCCGTTTTACTAAAGACAGGTACTAATTTTCTTCAGTTCATTATCTCTGTTCTTCTCGTTCGTAAGCCTGAAGGACCGAGCAATTAATGTATTTGCCTCTGCCTGTATCTGTGTTTAACTTTTAAGGAGTGCAAATAAGAAAAGCTGCAATAACTTTTTCGTTTTTCAACATTAGGACTTTATTCTTGTGAAATCTAAAATGCTGTATTTTGTTACGAGAAAAAGGATCTCAAAAACACAGTGTTTACTATTCCTATCCTATTTATTCATCAAAAATTGAAAAGTATGCCGTGAAAGTAAATTGGTAAGATTGTTATTTCGTCATCAATTTGACGTTTTTTTTGTCCATGTTGTCTGTGAAATATTTGTTTTAATTTAACAGAACGTGAATCGGTTGGCCAATGTCGGGTGCAAAGAAAACCTATGGGAAATTATGATTATGAGGGCGCATTAAACAGAATTGAGCAACATCCTCTAATTGCATCAAGATTCCTGGCAGATATCACCAATAACTTTACTAAAATGAAGTTTCATCGACATGTTCCCATAAATCGTTATGTAAATACTACATTTTAATATTTTGGCTATTTGCATGCAAAATTTTTATTTTCTAAAATACAAGAATATTGACTAAGGTATAAAAAAGTATCCGTTTCTAACAAACGAAGCTTTCCTTGCTTGTAATAGAATTCCAAAAAGATTCTTGCCAAACATGTAATTTTTTATTATCATTGCTTTACTAAAGAATCGCTGGTACAAATCAGTTAGATAATCAGCGAGACTCGTTATCATTCTGACCGTTTCCGAGTATCCGGTGTCGAGGGAGAAAAACCTCATGTAATACATTACCCGGTTTATCTGATTTCAGGTCGAATTCAAAAGACGAGGATCCGGCGGCTAAGAATCATCCCCCGTCAGTTGGTCCCGACATCCCGAAACTTATCACAAAATCTCCGTACAAGCTACTGGATAACGACGTGAAAACGGCCTGGATCAATCCGCGATTAATCTCAAAGGTAATTATTGTACCTAGTTCCCGCTGCACTCCGCTTTGTGTGACGCTGACGATCCCATTTGTCCGTCCACTGAAACATTTGCTCCGAATTAACGTAGAGACTTGGTAGTTTACGACTAACAAATAGCTGAGCTAATTTACGGTTTGCTCTAGCAGTTGTTTTCGGATCACATTTTCCTTAAATACCCTCAAAACCCTGTAATCGCCTTCGAAAAAGTAAGTTTTTAACAAGTTGGCGGTCCCGATATTGAAAAAAAGTATACTTAGAAGTTCTAGTCATTTAAGGAAACTTAAATTTTATAACAACACCACTTACACTGTTCATTCATTCAAGACAATAGTATATTCTCCACACGAGCGGAGCGACTTTTTAATAAACGGGCGAGTTAAAAAGTTTACCGAACTTGTTGCATACTATACTTTTTCTGCGACCGTTAGTTTTTTGGTACATTTTCTCAAAACGACACAAATACATTCACTGACATGGCCGTCAGAATTGACAAACGTCAAAATTAAAAGTATGGGAAATATTTCCCACAACATCCGATTGCTCCCAAACCCGTGCGGTAAAATCCCGGAAATGTCCGAAGTGGGTCGGATTCGTGGGAAACGAAACTGACGTGGTAAAGTGACGCTTTCCGCACGCTAGATCGGTGTGTCGGTATTTTACAGACGGGAGTAGAAAAATAATTTTAAGTCTCTATTTATAAGCGTCGAAACTAGTCAAACAATATAGCGAACTAACATGCTAGAGCGTTTTTGAATATTTTTGTTATTTATTTTCATTTCCGTTACGTATGCGGAATAAAATTAGATTATTTCAATAATAATAATAATCTACACTCACAAATGGCGAGTTTATATTAAAATACAAACCTATGCTTGTGGTAACTTTGTAAGCTAGATTGAATATTTAAAAGAGCGATGAGACGATCTGAGAAATCTCCTTATGGAATTTTAAGCTACTATAATCTGTTAAATTAATTGGCGCTTTAATATCCCAGCCGTAGACCTGGCAATCTTTTAAATTGTGCCCTTCTATGCTATGATACCCTTCTATGATATTTTGTGTGGTATATCCTTGTTACAAATTATGGTGTAAATTGTGCTATAGATAGTGATGAGATTTATTTCGTATGCATTTGTAATGTACACAACCAATCTTTGGTATTTAACTGGCTTCTTTTCAAGACTGCAGTAATATCTGCATATACGTTGTTTGAGGGCGGCAAAGCTAAAGAACGGGCATGAACGTTGTCTCGGATGACTTATTCCCTTATTGGTGAAAGGTTATGGTTGAAATGGTTTGCTTGCTTATAGATTTTTATAGATTCTCGGATTTTTCGTTGGTGCATACCAAAATTTACGTTTTATCGAATAAGATTTGATGTCCGATTTCATCATTATGTCCGAAAAATACTGATGAGTTTTTTTGTTGAGCCTAGTAACGCCGTCTGTAAACTTGTGATATCTCAGTGGTAAAGTGCAGGACGTTATATTTCTTAAGAACTTTTAATATGGAAACAGTGGCAAGTGTGGGGTTCGGATGGTTCGGAAGGATAGTTTTACGGCTCTGTAAACAAGTTGATGTTGAAGATGAGTTGATAACCGATGACTTTTGATCCGGATGGTGAAGCAGCAATGCATTAAGATATCGGTCTGTGTGTGTAGGTTTTCTGTTAACAGAATGACCCAATGTTAGGTCTGATTTTCTATTGACAAGAATAACCAAGAATGGAAGGTCATTATTAGTTTCATATTCATTGGTAGAACTTATGTTAGAGTGCATATCAACTTAGCTCAAAGAACATGAAAGATCAGTAAGACTACGACAAATAAACTTATTAGCAGTTGCCGAACGCATTAATAAAAGCGCAAATCTATTGAAATCTAAAACCAACCAAACAAGCTCAACTGAGGCCTTTACTTTTCACCAATAAGTAATAAGTCACATGAATAAATTTTTGTAACTCACAGTAACTCATAATTTTGCTGATTGTACATCTTACGTAGATTTTCTTCTTTTAGTGGCTATAATTGAATAAAATATTATCTTACGTGTATGTTATTATAGTAGCACCTATCATTGAATAAAATTTTATAACTCACAACTCACATTTTTGCTGATTGCCTATCTAACGTGGATCTTCTTATAATAGTACATATCACTGAATAAAATTTTATAATTTCGTGAGTTTATGTTCCAGATTACCCTTAAAAGGCCTGTAATACCAATGCACTTTTCCGGAAATCCTTTCAGATAATTCCGGTTTTCCACGCCGGACAAACAAACGGCGACACTTTTATGGAATTTTAAGTGGGAGTCGCTTTGTCTCAAAACCCTTTCCGATCCGCAGGAAAGGAAACTTTTACTACTGTCAGGAGCCAAGGTTTAATGACCAACATAAAAGTTTCACTTTCCCGTCGGCTACTACCCGTCGTTTCTTAAGTTTTTCTTTCGGCCACGGGACAGTTGCTTGCTAATTTAGTGGTATTTTTCTTTTCGGCTCCGAAACAACGGATGTGGTTTATTTCTTGTCGCGCAGTTTCGTGGGCTGTTAAAGGAAAGGGGACCACAGTTCGTATATCAAATTTCCGGATCGTATAAAAGATCCTTTCTCCCGCTTTTGTTGGTTACCGAAGGGATTTTTTTGTTTCAGTGTTCAGTCGGAAGCGAAGAATAATTATACTTATATATTATACGAATAATAATTATAATACTATACACTATCCGGTTTAATTATTTCCTTGAAAACTTGTCACGTAAATTGTCTATTTCCTCATTTATTTATTTATCTCTTATTTTTTAATAATAAATTTACTATATAGATTGTTCATATTCTAAGCCGCGAGTCTATGTACACATGATATTATGGTATTGGAAACATATGCCCGTAAATTTTGCTTATCAAATATATTATTTACAAATATTATGGATTCCCCCTGCATCAGTTATTGATAGACGTTTCGCCAATCCTTCATTGGAGATTATCTGAAGCTGACTCTCGTTCTACTCTCTACCTGCTAATATACCGTTTGAAAAAGATCTTTAAGACTACGACAAATAAACTCATCAGCAGTTGCTGTCGACTTTAAATATAAAATTCTTCCATGTAAGTAACAACTAGACCGAAAAAACATGAAAGAGCCTTTTGATTACTACAAATAAAGTCATCAGCAGTTGCCGAGTAGGAGAAAAATGCGAGCCAGTTTCAGTTTAGCTCTGAAGAAGTCAACAGGATGATTCACCAAATATCAGCAGTTTCGATCCAGAAGATTTGTAAATAGTATTGCAGTACACTGTCTAAATTTCTTTCAAAAATTGTTGTATGTATAAAAAGATATATTTTTTTTGTAGTAGTAGCTCTTTGTAGCTCTCCACACTGCCATTTCGCATCTCGAAGCAAAGCGTCTATTGCCGTACGGAATTTCAGTTGTCTCAGGGTTTATTTAGGACAGAAATAGTACACTTTCAGGTTTTTGAAAATAACTTACACTTCCTCTTCTCATGTCCTTTGGATTGATAATTTTTTAAGTGTACTAAATAAAATATATTGATAACCAAAAGCCTCCTTTAACAATCAGTGGTATTTGCAAAGCAACGTCCAAAATCCAAGTTCGATGTTTTTCTGATATACTGTTTGCTTATTCTTCCAATTAATTTTTAGCTGAATTTTTATCAGGCAACTTCTCATCTTGTACAATAAAATATGCCAAACATTATGTGGAGAAAATTGTTTACTACTGATTATTTAAAGAGTTTCCTACTGTAGCCGTTTTTGCGGTTAGGAAGACTTAGGGTCATTCTAGATTTCCTTTTGTTTAATAATGTTTAAAAGGTTAGACCGTAAGTTGCTATTAACATCCTTATTATAAATGAAACTTTTGTATTTATGAGTAAATTTTCCGACAAGTTTTTTGGAAATTTGTACAGATTTATCCTTATTTTTAACAGTGTGCTTTTTAGTGATTGATAATCGCTTGTGCGATTAACTAAAGCAGAAAATTGATAGACACATCACCAAAAGATTAACTGTTTGTATAGGTAATGAAACTAAATTTTGAAAATATGGTGACTTTTATTCCTTATAATGTGTGGTAGGGATGTCAAACCAAAAAGAAAACTAACAAAAATATTGAAAATTTCATAAAAATTTTTGTTATTTCAACAATGTACAGTCATAATGTAACGCATACATAATAACTTGTTTACATTTTAGATTTGTTTTTGATTTATTTAGTCAATGAAAGTTATAAATTTCAACCAATAAATCATTGGCAAACTAAACTGAACGACATTTTTATTTGAATATAATTCGTGGACACCTCGCAAGCTTTAGACATCGTATTTAAGATGATTTTTTTTCCAAGGTTAAGAGTTACAATATCCCCTGGTGGCTATTAATCACTTTATTTAAAAATCTAAACTTCTTTTCTCTGAGTCACTACCAATAACAAAAACGCCACCCCTAACGACAATAATATAAGCGTCATTAGGTGACTGTCGAGTCGGTCGGGGGCTCGAGGGAACCTTTCTTGATTCTCTTTCTTGATATATTTTCATCGCCTGCCTTTCGCTGGTAAGTGCTCAATGGGCCATTTCTTTCGCTTCGATAAATGTCTCGGGATTAAGCGATACACTTTAGGCAATTACTTTTAAAACGTATGTGGACTTTTTTCTCCCAGCCAAATCTCGACAGTTAAAGTACTATGCAAGGTGTTGTTGGATATTAATTTCTCATTTAATGGAGTATTACTGCTCTTGAAAGTGACTGTAAGAACTAGTTTTACCAATAAGCAAGACCTTTTTGTTCTTGATATACTTCCAAATTTTTGATATATACTGCATCTGAACATTCTCCAATTTTCCCCAAAGGTAGTTATCATAGTACCAAAATGATATATTACTAGATTTTGATGATTAAGAATAAAATCTGATCCAATCTACAATCTAGATTACGAGTTTATAGTGAGCATTGAAATGACAACAGACATTCTTTG